GCATAGACTTGCCTCTGGGAAGGGGTGGAGGAAATGGTGTTCTGATGTGGGGGTTTTTTGGAGCCAGTTTAAGATTCAGGCTAATCTCTTAAATCCAGTGGTTTATGTAACTTTCAGTGTGTGTTTCTGCAGTTAAGCATGCACAAATAAAGTATTTTTTGTTTGTTAGCTGCTTGGACTGGAAAAATTTGCTGCTTTTTGTCCTATTTGAGAATTCCAGATACACAACCAGTGCATCTTAAAATTCCTCAGCGCATCTGCAACTGTAAAGTAATACATCTGTTTAATTCCTGATAGGACCTATAAACTTTATTTAAGTATAAAGTAAACCACACTCATGTACATAATTCATAAACATGAATGAGAAATTAAAGGTACCTATTAAGTGGAAGTTGTCTACTGCATTTTTTCCCTTTAGCATCCAACTATTCACAAGGACAAACAACTAACTGAAGTCATGTAAGCAGCATTTAATTGCTTGTGTGAAACACTCTGCTAAGTACTTCTGCAATGCAATTTGCAACCTTCTCCTTTAATAAGCAGTGAATAATCTCAGGGATGGTCCTGAATGGATCAAAAGTTAAAGCCCTGTTTAGACAAAAAAGCGAAAGCCACAACACAGGAGTTGGGTTTGTGAGGGTTTCCTGCAGTGTTGCTCCATGATATTACACTGTGTTGAACTTTTTTCCACTGTTTGCAATGTTTTCTGTCAGCTAATCCTGTGCCTTTCCTGTGATAAGTACAATAATGAGGTTACTGGTTTGGATTACGAAATAAATTTATCAGAGGGTTTAAGAGGTTCACTGCTGCTTTGTCACTTTCCTTACTAAAATTGGCATTGCTTAAAAAATAACTATGTATAGACCGTGTTACCAAATAGACAATACAGACTTTTTGGCTTAAAACCAGACAGACATTCCAGTGCCACACTAATGTAACGTGCCCAGGAAGTCTTAGATGCATTCTAAAAAGTGCAACATTTATTGTGGTTTAGACATAATCTGGAAGTTGATGTTTTATAGCATCTTGCACTTTAGAAGATTAAAAAAAAAACCGTCCTGCTTTTGTGTATGGTGTGACCAATGATGTGCCCGGGGCACTAATTAAAAAGGAAAAAAAAAAAATTATCTAGTTGCTAGCAAGTTGTCCAAGGGCTGTGGAGCACTGTAGTATTTTGAAAGCTTTGGCTATAGACTCACCAAGCCCAGTCTACTTATACTGTCAGTACCCTGCTTCTCCTGTTTGCCTCCTCCTGTTTTTATGTGAACTGCCTGATAATATCACTCTTAAATAGCTTTTGACTCGTGTAAAAGCTATTTAAAAGAGAAAGATTATACTTTGTTTTTGTAGACAGTGGTGGCTTGATAATCCTTTTAATGATTTGAATATTAAAAAAAAATACTGAGTTGAGTGAAGGAAAAACGCACTTAGAATGAGTTATTTGCTGTCCGGCTGTACATAAAGTCCAGTGTATTTAAAAAAGTCAATACCAAGAATCTTCTAGCCAGAATATGTGCATAAAATGGTAGGGATAAACATGTTAGGAGCGGGGAAGGTTGGGTTGGATTTACAAGTCACAACTGGATTTAACTGGCCTTTTTATCTTTCCACTGTGTCATGTAAGTAGCTGCTTTCTTGTCCTACCTATCCCTCGGGCTTCCCCAAGTTCATTCTGAAGATAAGTTAGCAAAGTCTTCAAGTTTTAGAAGTTGATCCTGACATTGACATGAAGGCAAACGTTGAATTTTTTCATAAGAACGATGTTAGAGGTTGCAATTGGAGAAAACAGTTCCCAGACTGTAGGAGTTAACTGAAGCTATTGACACAATTTAAAAAAAAAATAAAAAAAAAAATCAGTAAAGGAATGTATATAATACTGCTCTGTGTTTTACAGTAAGATTTGTTGCTCTCAGACTGTGTAAAACAAAATTTATTCATGTTTTCTGCATATTAAAAAAATCTTATTGTACCAATTGGTAAACTATTAAATGCATATAAAACTAGATGTGTTTTTGTTTCCTTGGATGCAAGAATTAAAACTATTTTGAAAAAACCTATTGGTGTTTCACCCTTCAGATTTTGCTCCACACCTGCTGCTGCTTTTATCTAATTTTAATTTAAACTGTGCTCAGCTGAGGAAATGTGAAGCATTTTTAAGGCAATTGGTTACTGTTAGAATAGTCAGAGGTTTTATTGGTTAATATGGTGAAGTGAGATTTTATAAAAAAGCTTGTGCATGTTTCTTAAGCTGGTTTCGTACACGGTCTGGAAGAGCGTGGTTTGTCACGCTGCGCTGAGGGTAGATGGCTTGCCTCTTCCCGCACAGTGCTCGCTCGCAGGCTGTGCTGGCTCGCTCGCGCTGGGTCTCTCGCTGAAGCCTCTGCTGCGTGACTGTTCCAGCAGCCCCCGCGCTGCAGGCAGCGCGTGGACGGTGGAAACCGCGTCTTGGGGCTTCAGTGAGGCGGTGTGTTTGGAGCGCAATACACTTACGGTGTTGGGTAGCAATCTCGGTGTCTCGTGCTGAAGCAGTCGGTGTGGTTACGGAGGTGCAGCAGAGGAAGGCTTCCGGCTGTGCGTGGAGGCCAAGCGACTGTTGTTTGTTCTGTGACCGGGTGTGTGAGGGGAGCTCCCTCCCTTACTGGTCCTGTCCCAGGGCTGTGTTTTTCCCATTTTTTGTTTTGGTTTGGGGTTTTTTGTTTTGTTTTTGTTTTTTTTCCCCCCTTACCTTGAACCTTACTTTACAGCAGACCTAATAAGAACCATCTTTCACTATTTCTTTACTCGGTACCATTGGAGCGGTTGAGGCTGACAGTTGCAGTCACTGCAGTGAATCCTCCGAGTGACTCAGCGTGGGAGTACTCTCTGCTTTCTCAGGCAACAGCAGTCCTGTGCGGGTGGAGGTGCATACCTGGAAAGCTGAGGCATGGAAGTTTTGTTTTCATAGTGGTGTCTTTCAGTTGGTGTATAGTTTGTTTTTTTTTTTTTCCTGTGATCTGGCCTTAATTGCTGCTTATAAATGGGTCAGTGAACTAAAGTGGAAATGTGCATTTCTTCATTAATGGAAGAGCAAGGATGTGACCTTGACCGTGATGTGGGGCAGAGAATGAAACAAAGCTACTACCAGCTATGTTCTGGGTAATGGGTCTTGCACGGTGTTACTGAATAGCAGGAACAGACCTGGGATAGGCTTTTGGGGGAGACTGACTTTCATCTGGGAAAAACAACTGAACTCCACGCTCCGCCAGAGCTAGCGCGCGGGTCGGAGGTCCTGGCTGAGGTGAAGGGGCGTCCTGAGCTTTTGGTCCAGAGACGGTGTTAGGATGCAGGTTTGAAAGGAAAGCCTTCTGTGTATCTGCAAACATAGTAAGCTTATCAAAAGGGAGAGGTAAGGGATATTAAAATCTAAGTTGCTAAGAGCAACCTGGGCAGTTGAACAATTTCATTTTCCCCTTCAGCTTGGTGGCTTGTTGATTATGCAGCGAGTGCCTTACTGAAAGCGGCTTTGTAAGTGTATGACCAGTGTTCTACCAGTTGCTTCCAGTTTTGATATAGCAGTGATGGGTATTAAAACATTTTTCAGCAGGCAGGGTTGAATATGACAAATTGCACGTAGAGGAATTTTGGTCAATGGTGGGAAAATACCGTATTCAGTTGAGTAGGCTTCTCTCTGAACAGTACGACCACTAAAGGCAGTGAAGCTTTAATGGTGACTTTTCCTTGAAAGAAGGCTGTAGCTTTTATGGTATGTGATATGTCCGATGACATTAGGTGCTGGAAATCCCTCTGTCCGGAAAGAAAGCAAGGAGGATAAAAATAGTGTATTTCTGTGTGTTTCCTGGATTGCTGATGTTTTTAATCTTTCTCTGAAATAATTTCATTTTGCTGCAGTTACTTTTCTCAGGCAGCGGCGTATTGTTACCTGCCAGCTACGGGAACAGCTGAGGTTCAGTGCTTCTGCCTGACACTGACACATGTGGTGTTAAATCCTGTCTGAGCCAGACCTGAATAGGTGTGAAAAGGTGGACTGCGTGTAACGGTATGAACTAGGAACAAAGTTGGCGTCACGGAGGTGAGTTGTTCTAGGGCCGGGAAAGCTACGTTCAGCTTCCTGAACGTCCACCCTCCTCTTGACCTGGTGTGTCCCCAGCCCCCGTTTGAGTCAGTTCTTCCAAGTTCATTTTTGTTTAAGAACTTGTGAACCGAGTACCTGAGAACACCCAAACCCCAAAAGAGAGGTAAAGAGAATTACAGAAGGTATGTTGTGGAATGCAGTTATTTAACAACTGATGGCATTCAAGCTGCTTAGCTGTGAAGCCGTGTTAGCTGGGATTTGCATCCTTCAGCTTCATTTCCCGTTTACAAAAACCCACAGTGGACCTGTGCCCCTGCTCACCCCCTTCTCCCCTTGAGCAAGATGGAGAAGTAGCTCCTCTGCCTTGAGGCAAAAGTGATTCCGAAGCATCTGTTGACAGAAGAGGGTAGTTCCTGCTTCTCCGTGGTTTTGGGTTGCTGTGGTTGTGATTCTGGTGCTGGTTTTATTACTGATCTTTTGGAGTCAATTCCTCTGTCCACAGGGGCACTTTGTTAGAGGAAAAGGGTGCACGGAGCAGAGGCAGTGTTAACCCGCACAAGTTTGTGAACTGTGCGGCTTACTGAAATGTTCCAGTGACCGCAGCACCTTCCAAAATGGTCCAAGAGCTTTCAGTCCTGCCGCTGTGCAGGAGGCTGGCAAAACAACCCAGCGTGCGCACCCCAACCTTGAGCATCACTGAGAAAGTAGCCAGGGAAAAGTGTGTACTGGATGCAGGGAACAAACGTTTGCAGGTAGAGGAGTGCTTAATGGGGGCTGAACCCTGCCGTGTGGCATCAGTAGAGTTACAGGTTTTAAAGCCTCCAGCTAATCTGTACCTGCACCTGAACAGAAGTGGTGGCTCCAGTGATGGTGTTCAGACTAACGCTATCCCAACACCTTGCACCAAACTGTAAAGAAACCAATAAAAACAGTTTAAAAAGCTTTTAATGGACTGAAAGAGACTAGCAAAAGAAAAATCTTGTAGGAAAGATGCACTGTAGTCATTTATTGATTGCCTTCCAGGAAATTCAGAATTTTTCTAATAGGAGCAAGTTCTTTTGCAGTAAAGACTCCTCCTGCTTTGCCGCCTCTCACAACTTGGAGGCTACTCCCCTCCTTCCCTTCCCCCCCACCAAGAGTTACAAATACCTGTAATGTAGTACAGGAAACCAAGGGTACAGAGCACAGTGACAGCACTTGTTCTCCAGAAGGTCAGTAAAAGAAGCAATGCAAATTAGCACAGGGTACTATCCATGACAGACAACACGAGAGAGAGAAAGACCGGACTCCTTTGTCAGCACAGGGTGGCTGCGTTCTACAGCTTGATCTGTTTGGAAAAAAGGACATTCAACTCTGTCGGCACACCATGGCCTGCGGTGGCCACATCTTACCTGCTTTGTGACTGGCGCGGCCAGGGGAGCACGCGCTAGTCATTGACAACTGCCACGGGACGTGTGTGTGATGGGGAGGGGACGTAAGGATTTGTTTAGTGGCATCTGCCATTTCAGTAACATCCATTGCCAGCAATGGAAGCTCCCCTGGCAACAATCTCAAAACCAGTGTGCAAAAGTCATTTAAGAAGGTCTTAGCCATAGGTTTCAGTGCTGTGGGAATTTTAGTTTTTGTTTAACCCCCCTCCCCAAAGCCTAGTGATTTCAGCTTGTGGGAAACCCGCGATTCCAATCTGGTTCAACTTGCCTGTCAGGTTAAAATCCATCAGCTCTGTGTTACAGTTGCTATTGCAAATGAGACCAAGTCCCTATTTCTGACTTTTCCTCCCCTCTTCCCTTGCCCTTTTAATAGGGCCACGATTTCCTGCTAAATTACTTTAGTTCAGACCTCATTTGATGCCATTATCAATCTCTCCTAGGCACTGGGGTTTCCATTGTAATGGAAGTTTGTGCGCTTTTTTTAAACATCAAGCCCTCACTCTTTGGATACAGTATCCTAAGTTACTCAGCTGCAAGCAGAGCAGAGAGGTGGAACTGTGAGTATCATTCATATATATATATATATCTCTATATCTCTCTATCTATATCTTTACCTTGAAAATTAGAATGTGAATGTTACAAAACCCCACTGAATTTCAGCACTGCCAACCAAAAGTAGAAAAAAATGGTTAATGGAATCCAATGGCTATATCCTGATGTAGAAAATGCTGTACATTCCCCCATTTTTACTCACACATTACAGGCTTCAGTCATCTGAGCAATACAAATATGGCTGCTTAGTTGTCTTAGCACAAATCGGGATAGTGACTGGGGGGAAAGAAATCTTTTGGCTTGGAATCCACATTTTACAAGAACGCTGAGCAGTGGATGGGGCTGGTTTTGTACTGTTTTAGCAAAGCAGTGTCCTTAGTCAACATAAAAATGACCTGAGAAATGTTACATACCTCAAGACAGTTCATTTGGAATTCATATGTACAAAGTAGAAATAACTGATGATACGCACACACACACACAACACGTACGCACACACACAGGCGTGACAGCCTCTGGCTCCGCTCACCTAGGATGGGTCTTTCGTATGCTGCTGCATCCTGGCCACCTTCCCCTTCACGTGGCAGACACAAGCTCAGTCAGACAGATTACATTTCTCAGATTAGTTCTTTGCATTGTGTATTAATTGTACCAGTGCAATAACATTGTCAAAAAAGGAGGAGCTGCTCCAGGGGAGTCCGAGACCCTGGGTCAGATTCAGAAAAGGGTGGTTTAAACTTTTTTTTTTTTTAAGCGAGGTACACATTAAGCAGAGCTCTGTGTTAAGGGGATCTCAGCAGAAGGCATGCTTGGCTCAGCCTCTTTCTCCTCCACAGCTTTGTCCTCTGGTTCCAGCTGTTCACCACTTTTTATGCTTTCCTGGAGCTGCTGGCGTCGCTGCACCTCTGCTTTAAGGTTTTCCAAGTCTTTTTGGCTGAAGGGGAAACCAGGAAGGGTAGCAAACATTAGACTACCTTTAGGAATGGTGTGAAGCACAGGGACAAGGTGGTGTTCCACAAAATAGGAAATGCTCCTAGCGCTTGCCCTCCTCCTGCCAGATCCCAGGTCCCATGTCTCAGCAATACCTGAGCAAGGCTAGGGGGTTGGGTTGCCATTTGGTTTTGAACCAAAAGGCACCAGGACGTGACCCATCAGTGGCCACTCGGGGCAGAGGCAGTGAGGTTAATCTTGTCTATGTCCAGGCAGCCTCCAGCTGCTTCTGGTGAATTTTTACCATTGGTCATTATTTATAGCATTAGAAGAATACAGTCTCAGCTCAGGTCATCTTTTTCCACTCCCCCCCCTTCCCCCCCAATCAAATTTTCAACTAAAAGTCTAAGAGACAATTTATAATAAATGAAAAAAAAATTTTTTAAGAGTACTGCTGTTTATAGTGGTCTTGATGATGATAATCAGGGCTAGTATTATGATCTTGGCTAATGTTCTTTGTAAACAAATCCTGTGGAGCTGGGGAAGGAACACCTCCAAGATGTCCTTAAAGGAACTACCTTGCTAAGCAGCCTTGTCTGTGGAAGAGCCGGTGCTGTTCTTCACAGCCCAGCACTGCTCACTTCATTTCTTCTGGATAGAGACCGCTGACTGTGCTTCAGCTACCTCCCACTCTGCAAACGGAGCTGAACGAAAGAATCCCTTTGCTGCTGGGGTGACCGGCTGAGAACAGGCGACGAGGGGAGATGCCAGCTCCTGGCTGCTTGCAGAGCGACCCATGGGGCAAGTCACACAATAGTGGTCTTGCCCACTGATGCATCAATTCTCCAGGAAGCTTGCCTGATTTCCTTTAGCTTCACAGAGCAGCTTTATGAGATCAGATTGCTGCTACAAGCTCAAGGTTACAGTTTTGAAAGAGACACCTGACATTTCATGCAGTGTTCCTCCAACCAGGAGCTCTTTTAGTGTCACTAAGGATTGCCCAGGGATCCCGCAGAGCATCCCTTCACAAGTGTTCAGCAGTGCCTTCAGGGGATCCAGCACCTTCAAAAGCAGTTTTTATGCAGAAGTGACAATTTCTGCCATTATTTGCCTAGTGCTGCCTGAAGAGGTACCTAAGATCACTGGAAACTCCACATTTTGGGTCAGTGACTCAATGCAAAGAGAAGCGTTGTATTTATGCTATCTCTGGAACAAAGCTTACACAAAAAGACTACTTGGTTTCTAAAGGTACAACACACAGAGGTATCACTCTACCTTAGTGGAATGAAGAGAATCCCATTGATAATGTTGAGCTGCTCCAGGACACTGGCCATACTGGGAGCTGTGAACTACAGCGTAAGACAAAAAAAAAGAGTGTTAAAGTCAAAACCCAGACAGAACAACTCGGAGCTCCTAAGCAAGTCCAGACCCCATTTACCAACAGCTGAGAAAAAGCTAGGTCTCATATGACACTCTAGCAGCTGTAAGGTGGCATAATTTGTATTTTCTACCTCTTTATACTCATAAGTTGAAAAGCAACATCTAGAGACCCTTAGTCACTGTGGGCAACCTCCCCTCTGAACTCTGCAGGACTCAGTTAAATGTAGTGTATATGTGAGTTCAAAATGTAGGTTTTTTTTTTTTTCTTTCTTGAACTGTTGTTTACCATTTTATGGGTTTAAGCCTCTTAGCTGGACGCTATTTCCTGGACTTGACCATTTACTCAATTCAAGGTCCTTATGCTCAAATTACTCTGCCATAAGCTCTTCAGTTCTGTACCCAGTTCTTTGCAGCGAGAAGAAAACCCAGCCACTCCCAGAGCACTATCCTGCCCTGCCCTTTCTACTGGGAGGGAATCTCTGCAGCTGGAAGCCTCTTCCCCAGCCTGCTGGCTCACAATCCTCTGGCAGCCGCTGGTGTACAGCATGGCAGGGAGAGCACCCATCACACAAGTTAGTGCGTACTCCCCTAGATATGCCACAGACAGGCTGGCGTGATCTGCCAGGTGCACAGGCAGGTAAGAGCAGCTGGGTTTGGCCCAAGAGGGCCAATCTGTTCCTGCTCCATGTAAGGCAAGGCAAGGCAGGCCCCCCCATGCTCCGCTCTGCTGCCCAGCCTCCCCACACCACAAAATCCTTGGAAGAAGAACAAAGCACCTGGTGAAAGATGACAGCATTTTTTAGGATGAGGAAACTGAAGTACTTTTGGCTTGTGCAACCTGCCTACAGCCAGTGAGTCAGCAGAGGGGCAGGTTTGCACATCATAGGTGTCCCAGGGCTCCCACACTGTGAGCTGCCCAGCGTGTCCTTACCGATTTCCCCGGGTGCCCTGCAACGCAGTCAGCTGCGCTCAACTGCCTGAGCTCAGGAGAAAGAGCCAGAGCCCAGAACCGCTCTATTCAGAAGCAGAGGGGACAAATGCTCAGTCCGCGTTGGTTACACTGTGCATGTCTGTCTGATCCTCTGCCTTTGCAGGGACCTCCTGCCTGTGAAGGGTCTGCAGCTGGCACAGCCATTACCAGGGGACAAACTCAGTCCGCGTTGGTTACACTGTGCATGTCTGTCTGATCCTCTGCCTTTGCAGGGACCTCCTGCCTGTGAAGGGTCTGCAGCTGGCACAGCCATTACCACCTCCTGCACAGGCAACATCTGCACGCGTACGCTGACGTGTCCTTCAGGAGCAGCTAAATACAAATCTCTGCCTTCATGGCAAGTACTCTCGATCGCTCTCGTTGCATAAGGCTACCTTAAGTGGCATGATGTTTTGATCCTCTGCCTTTGCAGGGACCTCCTGCCTGTGAAGGGTCTGCAGCTGGCACAGCCATTACCACCTCCTGCACAGGCAACATCTGCACGCGTACGCTGACGTGTCCTTCAGGAGCAGCTAAATACAAATCTCTGCCTTCATGGCAAGTACTCTCGATCGCTCTCGTTGCATAAGGCTACCTTAAGTGGCATGATGTTTGCATTGGAGCCATTCTTGTAAATCTCGTTCATTGTGCGTTGAAGAGCGACTGCTTGCTGAGTCAGGTATTTCAAGTACTCAGAGCTCTCTTTGGTCTTTTCATGGTGTTCTCCAAGCTAATCAGAAAAGGGAAAATAAAAACCAAAGGTACAACATTACAAATCAGAATAGGACCCAAACCAGGGTGCACTCCTATCTCTGCTAGCTCAACATCCTTACAGAAACGCATAACTGGATTTCACCTGCCTTGGCATTCAAAAAACAAACAAACAAAATTCCTCCAGGAGCCTTATTATCAACATTACACATTTCCATCAAGTAGGAGCATGTTTGCAGGGTGAGCGGCATTCCCTCCACCAGGCTGTGCTTTCAGCCAGTGAATCACGGTGTACAACTGCAGACGTGTTCAGACAGACCCCGGGCTGATGCAGAAGTTTCACTGTGCATCAGCAAGGGCTGTGAGCGGGAGAAGGTATTGCCCATGAAACAGCTCAACTACCAAACGAGTTTGGATCTGGTATTTAAAAGACAGGTGGTGTAAAAAAAGTGGAAAGAACAGGCCAGCTCTTTCAGTGCCCTGCCAGAACATGGGGCCACGCCACCAACAGAAGTTTCTGTCCAGTGACAGGGGTACAGCAAGAACAAACTTGCAGGAAGGCTATTCAAAGACTTTTGGCATAAAATCTGGTCAATTATTGTACAGGGCAGCAATTCTGCCCCGTCCCTAGAAAGAAGATTCCCTGGCATCTGCTCAGAGCTGTTTGTAAGAAAGGCCTCCCTGAGTTCCGAGTTGTGGCACTGTTTTGCTGTGGTACTGCTCGTTTCTGGCAGGAAAGTGATATGACACAAGTTAGCAGCATGCATGCTCATTACCTGGTTTTTGTAGATGGTGTAGCCTTCCTTCTCGTGCTGCAGAGCTGACCGGAATTCTGCTTTGCTCTCATACACTCGGGCTACCAAGTGGTGGCTGAGGGAAGGAGAAGGGTTTAGAGGTAGTTTAATGAAGAAACATTTCTGCACTACAGCGAGCATGACTTTAACATAACAATGTTTAGGCTAGAAGTCTTAATACCAGTGTCAAAGGAGGCCGATACTGGACTCTGAATACAGCACCCTGGTAGTTACTTCTCCCCATCCCATTTGGGGATTAATTTACTATACTGATTTGGGCTGGATTCTTGTTGAAATGCTGAGAAGTGACCTACAGAAGTAAAGACTGAACTGGGGATTTTTTCCTCCTGCACCCAGGAAAGCTGAAGGCCACAGCGGTGAACTGAATGGAGGCAGCACATCCACGGGACCATCTCGGCGCTACATTTGTTAACTGGAGAAGAAGGAAGCAGTCATAAGTCCTTACCCTTCAAAAAGGGTCTTTTTGTTTCTTAGAAAGCAAAGGTGTGAATTACTTGATTATTCACAGCCAAAAGTAAAAAAAACTTCCGGCACAGAAACAACCAGCAAAAGAGTGGCGGAGCTGGGACCCAAGTCACCTGGGCTCTCTCCAGTTGGGAGAGCTGACTTGGCTTGGACTTTGCTTCCTTAGTGTTTCTGGAATGAAAAAAAGATTTCTGTTTTTGGCAGTATTACTCTGTGGGAGGTGATGAATCTCATCGAGCATCCCAGTGCTACTAAGGGAAGGCAAGATGCTGTCTGCAGAATGCATATCCATCAACTGCTGGAAAACAAATCTGACTCTTGTGGGTGCTTAGCAAGATTTATTTTCACCCTGACGAAGAACAGATGGGTTGCAATGTGGTAGTAGTAATTAGGAGTGGGCCACTGCTTGGTTGATAGTGAGCCAGTTTTGCATTCAAGGACAATGCATGCAGCACTGAAGAGCAGTGGGTACCTAGAGCAGATCCTAAAGGTGCCAACCACTCATAGCTCCCTTGGAAACAAGGAAGCTGCTCAGTATTTTATTCAAATACAAGACTTTATGGTAAAGGACAAAAGCGAATTATATGCTTCTCAAAGATAGCTCCCTGAGGGCTGAAACAATTAACTACAAGTGTTTACGTATCATCCCAGCCTCCCAGTATGATTACATTAGCCTTGCTCTCCAACCTTCACTTGCTTCACGTTTTTCTGCTGAGAGTCCACAATGACCAGGGTCATCTTGACAGATTTTTGGGGCAACCAGCATTACAGCAGATCCCACAATTAGCTTTAAGAACAAGGGATCTCCATCTGTCAAGACAACAAATTTGGATGCTGCACCATGACCTTGACTCATGCAGCCCAGCAGTCCCAAGGAGCCTGACAGCTGGGACGAGAGTCAATCTCTAATTTAACAGGATAGAGTTGGACACAGCTGGATCAGATCCCTCCCATATAAGCACAGGGTGAATGTACTCGCTCTCTTTAACAGTACGGTGACACAGCCCAGCACTCCACCCTGCCTCACCTTAGTGCAACTTTCAAAGACTTGGAGCCATGATACTTGGAGCTGATGGCCAGCGCGTTCTCCAGGAACCGGAGGGACAGGTCATACTCCATAACCCCGTGGAGCACCAAGCCAATGTTGTTCTGCACAAAGAAGTCAAGTAGGCATTCAGAAAGCAAATTCAAACCATGCATGTATTGCTTTGTAAATACCAAGACCACACAGGTATTACACTGCTGAAAAGGCTGTAGCAGCTGCAAGTCCCCAGCAGGTATCTCTATAGCACGTAACACGTGACAGGAGACCATTCTTCCCCTTGGGAGCTCAGTCCAAGCAAGCCAGACAAAAGTGAGAGAAGGAACTCTCCATTTTATGCGAGGGCAACAACAACAGGCTAAATTAAGGAATTTGCCCAAGGATTACAGGCGCTCGAACCCACGTCTCCAGTGTCCCAGTGCAGAGCTCCAGCCACAGAAGGCTGACCTTCCCAGCTAAAGAGTCAAACTCCTTTCTTCTCTTCTTCTAATAGCACTAACTGGTAGTAACCCAGGGAGGAAAAAGCAGTGCCTAAACGTTTATTTTAAATAGCCAGCACTGTGGGCATTTTAAAGGCCCACAGGTTTCTTGGAGATTAGAAACTTGAAGGCTCTAAAATACTACTTACATCTAAGAGTGCCATTTCTGGGTGATCTTCCCCAAATACCAATAGCATGAGGTAGCGTGCACGGTACAGTAAGTTCAATGCTGTAGAGAGCTGGCTGTTCGCAAAGCAGTACAAAGCAAGGTGCATCTATAACAAAAGAAGTAACCCAGCATTAATGGTTTTTACTTATCACTCTGTAAAGCAAACTAATCTCTCCTTTCTACTCCTTTCCTCAGCTGCACACAAATAAAAAGGTCTTCCTTTATGGTTAAAAAGGATTTCAACCACTCCCAAAAGTCCAAGTCTGCTGGTTGATTTACAGCTCCACTGAGGTATCACGTAAGATATAAGTACTGAGGAAGCCCAAGTGTTTCATTTCAGTCTCTTATGCACCTCAAGGAATATTTCAAAACTGACCTGTATGTATATGACATTCTGATTGCGCTTTTGGGGGGATTCTTTCTCTTTCTTCGTTTTTGACATAAGCCCAGGGCAAAAGCCAGCAGAATTAATGAATATAAATAAACATTCAGCAGACAAACCCCCAAAATTCTAAACTAAGTAGGACAAATACTGACCATGCAGGACGCTTACAATGCAAACACTTAGGTATTTGGCTTACAAAATCATAAGATACAAAACTTATGATGGAAGTGGAGGATTCTGGAAAGGAATTCTGCAGAAGGAAGGAAAACTGCAACTGTTTTCTAGATGCAGACATGAATTAAGGCTCACAGACAGACTCCAGGTGGACACATGAGGTGCTGCTTCTCCCCCAGCACCCTGTACTCACGTATTCTTGAATTGTGTTGGGATGTTCAATACCCAGGACCCTCTCGCTCATTAGCACTGCTTTCTGCTGATTACTTAAGGCCTAAACAGAACAGAAGACCCAAGAGCAACTCACACAGTGCTGTGCACTTGAGCAAGCAAGCATGGGGAAGGAATGAGAGGACTAAACAGACCCTATCAGAGCCCTTGCTTACCTCTGAATAATCTCCCATGATATAGTTGAGACGAGCTAGCAGCCTCAGGCAGGCACAGATTTCTACATGCATAGCACCATACACATTGTTGAACAAGTTTAAGGCTTCATTGATGAGCTCGCAGCCCTCCTTCAAGAAACCTGAAAAAAGTTATATTCATATACGTATGTGTGTTAAATAACCCCTAATACTACTGGAGAAGCGTGTTGCCCATGAAGTGAAAACCGTAGTGGGATATGTAGCCATAAGTCACTGCCTTGTGTAAGGACTAAAACCTAGGAGAAGGAAATTGCTGCCCTACATCCATCCTTGTTCATCGTTGGTAACTTTATAGCAGGTGTGTGTTTCAGATGGTCTTGGAGACCACAATTCTCTACCACAACAGGGTGGGTGGGGGTATATTGGTGGAGGGCAGCGGGCCATGCCACACATACCCTGCTCTTCCTTTTATCAGCAGTCACCTCAAGAGGCAGAGGCATGTTGGGTCTGTACCTTGCTGAACCTTTGCTTGCCCGCTCTGGAAGAAGTGGAAAGCATCGGAGGCTTTAGGGTTTACGTGCTTCACTACAGGGAAGATGTTGAGAATATCCTCTTCTGTGAAGGTGGGCTTGTGCCTGTTGTCAAAGTTGTACTCTTTCAGCAGTATCTGGAGGAACCGAAAAGACCAGAGGTTATGGTCACCACTTTCATAGGTACTTGGCAAGAAAAGAGTGGAAAATGAGCCTTGAATTCTGCATGCAGATTCACAGTCAAAACATCTCCTGTATCACTACCTGGGGACAGAGTTTTGAAAAAAGGTCACGTGTAGGCATGCACCACCACGTGTGCATGGCAAAGTCGCACCGCAGTGCCAAGGCATGGTCGTGCCAGCACAGGAGCCCCAACAGGGAAACCCTATCCAGCCAAACTCCCGCACCCCACAGAGGAGCGAGAAGGCAGTGCTGTGGGGAAGGAAACCCCCTGTTCTTCAAGCAAGGACAACCCCGAAGTCCTGCTCTGCTCAGCCAAAAAGCTGCTTCTCTTTGGATGGGGAGTATGCGTGTGCATGAACTTCTGATGTGAGGTTGGTTTGTCAGACAGAGCAAGCTACAGGAATTGTATTCAGGCTGGCTGATCTTCCAAGGGAGATGCACAGCAAGTTTATCCTAAAAGGGAACTGGATTAGAAACCTCTTTCCCCGGGGCTGGAACCTATATTCCAACATTGACACCACAAAGACCTATAGGGGCTCGCACTGTCTGTCTGAAAGGCTGTCCCCTGCAAAGCAGTTTGCACTTACTCTTCATGTTTCTCAATATAGAACATGATGGGGAAGGGAGGAAAGACGTGGATCTTACTTGGACTCCAGTTTTGAGGGAGATTTCACGGAGCAGGGTGATTTTCTGTAGATTATACACTTCAGCTGCTTGGTCAGCATTCTCACTGCAAAAAGCACACAAAGGCTTCAGCTCTCGGGTAAGTTTCTGCTCAAGGACATCCCTCCACTGTGGCGTATCTGAAGCACAGGTCTCTCTACAGCTAGGTGCTAACTGAAACCAATGACTAACATTACTGTGGTTGCTAGTGGTCTATTAAAGCTTACAGAGATGTACAACAGTACTTTTTACCGAAATCCTATGTGTGTTCTCCTCAAAGCTCACTGCAGAGTTTAGGCAAGAGTCTGAATGCCTTCGGCTCTTGGTAAAGAGTGAGCTGTCCCTGACATGAAGGGATGATTGCTGATTTAGCCAACTAGTCATGGTTTTTCTCTTGGGCCACTTCGCTTGCGCTTCCAGTTTAATACTCACTATCTGCACCTTCCAGCAGCCTTATTCACCATCTCTGTTTCAGATACAGGAGAAACTGTCCTTGTTTTTGGAACATAAGTTCCCTTCAGCCTAAATCATCATCTATATAGACAAGTATCTTTTGACTACACTCCTTCAACTTCTTGCCTTCTGCTCCCCTCTGCACCACTAAGGAGAGGTTTCCCTTCCTCCTGGTTTTCCTAGCTGCCTTTGCCTCATAGGTTTCATCTCATTTCAAATTTCAGTTACGCTTCCCCCTGCTGCTCTTTGCCTGATTTCTTTCCATTATAAGCCTGTAAAACTCCCTCAAGAGTACAGATTTATATTCAACAGCAAACAAATCAAAAAGGCAGGTCCTATTAAAGAACAGTAAGAGCTACAGACATTTGGTGAGAGTCCAGGCACAAGTGAGGGTAATTTGCTCTGCTTACCATTCAAGACTAAAATCGAAGTAGTTCTTTGCTTCTGAACAAATATTCTTCCAAAGCTCCTGCGGGGTCATGCTGGCCCATGCAGTGTTATCGGCATTTCCAAGGTTCCTGTTTTTCCTTTTCTTATTCTTTTTCTTGGAGACCAGCTCATCAGCTGGAAGATGGGCAATGGGATTTGGAAAGGAGCTTAGAAAGCAATTGAGGAAGTGGCTGATGGCTGCTGATAAACCCGACAGCTCCACACCCTACAGCGAGACACCGAAATCAGTCTTGGAAGACACCTGCCATCACACAGGCACTACTCTGACCCTGAGTCTAACACAAATCCAGTCCTACCAGAAACAGGAAAATCTTCCAGGAGAGGGAGAGGAAGGCAATATTTGCAAGTGGAACTAGCACAGACAGAATTATGTAGATATAAGAGATAAGTATATACCTACACACATACACAAATATATATTCCATTTTGGGCTGCTACCTGGGACAGAGAAACTAGAGAATGTAAAGAAGATTTTGACACTGGAGTAAAGCCAGGCGTATTGCTATGCTATGTACGGACAGGTATAAGGACGCAATAGTGTTCATGCAATCAAAAAAACTTCTTAGAAGGGCAAAAGCAACACTGTTTAAGAGGAAAAGATGTTACAAGGAAAACAAGCTGTGATTTCACTTTTAAAAGCCTTCAACATAATGAGTGAGAATCTGGGGAAGAAAAGCATGAATGATTACTCTCTGGGAAACCTATCTTCAAGTGGGAACTTGTTTTCCCTTACACGCAGGCCTGTACCTATTTTAGCGCTAATGAGATTGTACTTCCCGTTGCTAGGCAACCCCTATGAACTGCCTAATGAGAGAAGAGACTCAAACAGCTCTCTATTTGTGGAAAAAAGTCATTAGAGAGGACACACAAGGCAAGAGGTTAGACTGCAGGTCATACCTGGAGGTACGTCTTGAAGATGTGTTTAGCCGATCGAGTGATCAATTCACTGATTCCTATTTTCTACCCAAAGGAATAAAGATCAGAGATTAAGAGTCAGTCGGCAATAACAATGAAAAATACGCTTTGCTTTTGAAGTGGGCTTTTATCAAGATCTGCAGAAGACGCATTCTCCAGTCCTGACCCTGCAGCTCAGAACTGTTTTGCATTTGACAACACTCCTGGAGCCAGGGAAGAGCCCCCTGCACACCCGTGCATGGTGACCACAAGCCACCCCATGCGGCCCAGCTCAGCTCTAATGCTGCTTCCAGGAGCCACCGCAGCACAAGCCCTGTGCGTGCTCACGGGCAGCCGCGCTCCCAACACTTTCCAATTTGATCCAAAGCCCTGACAGATCTTAGAGGCTTAAAAAATGCATGGCTTAAAATCCAACTGTGTGTTACCTGCTATTATGCTTGGGAACCCCTGAAGCACTTCTCTATCCCAAAGGACACTCAAACCTTCTAACATGAAAGCCATTTAGGATTTGGGAGCAAAATTCCTCATCCACCACTCACAGGTCCTTCTCCCTCCTCCTCTATTTTTGAAGCTGTTTATTTTTACACAGAGAAAACAATTGGCCAAGTTGGAATCTATACAGGGCAAATTACACCAGAGGCAGTTTTAATTGTCAGTCTGAAGTTAAGCCTGATGCTTACAAAAATGTGATCCAGCTGAGCACGGCCAGGGGTCTTGGTGATGAAGTTGATCACTTTGCCTAGATAACGCATGTTGATGCCCCTCTGGTGCATGGCCTCTGCTAAGGTAGCCCCATCCATTGGGAGCACTGTGTGATCCAGACAGTCTTTGACCTGCAGGGTATATGCAAACTTCAGTTACAGAGAGCAAACATGAAGGAAAGAATTTCAATTTAAAAAAAGAAAAAAATTTCAATTTAAAAAAAGAAAAAAATTTCAATTTAAAAAAAGAAAAAAATTTCAATTTAAAAAAAGAAAAAAATTTCAATTTAAAAAAAGAAAAAAATTTCAATTTAAAAAAAGAAAAAAATTTCAATTTAAAAAAAGAAAAAAATTTCAATTTAAAAAAAGAAAAAAATTTCAATTTAAAAAAAGAAAAAAATTTCAATTTAAAAAAAGAAAAAAATTTCAATTTAAAAAAAGAAAAAAATTTCAATTTAAAAAAAGAAAAAAATTTCAATTTAAAAAAAGAAAAAAATTTCAATTTAAAAAAAGAAAAAAATTTCAATTTAAAAAAAGAAAAAAAAACACAACAAAAAAAAACCTGACTGACTGACTGAGGAGGGAAAAAGGCATTGCTGACAGAGAAGGCAGTTTCCAGGGATGACATTTAAGTTACAAGCACAGCAAGAACTGGCAAGTACAGAGCACTGATCAGCCAGAGCCAGGGCTGCCGGGTGTTCCCTGCCTTGGGCCATAGGCTCCACAGCCAGCAAAGTGGATAAATTCGGCCTGCAGAGACTCCTCAGGAGCTCTGGTTAGTGCCTCCTCTGCTCTGCCTCTGGGGTGGGACTGCTGTTCTGGGATCTGGCACAAAGGAAACCCCGAGTGGCCACAGCCTCGAGCTCCCTGTGCAGCTGCGGGGCTGTGAGCAGGAGCGGCGCTGTGCCAGCAGCAGGAGGGAGAGCTGTTTCTCCAGTGCTAATGGGATGGCAAGCCGCCCAGCGCTGCGAGGGCACGGGGGGGCAGGACCGCTGTTCCCCAACTGCCATCGGCACACACCTCTGTTACCTGGGGTTCAGGGTCGCCCCAAAGGCCAACAGTGACCCCGAGCAAGGCTCTTTCGGTGAGTGCTGTAATACCAGAGACCACCATGCTACACGGGCAGGGGGAACACTTGCACCAGACAGCCCAAAGCAGTTTGTGCAAGCTCCTTGCCACTTGTGCCATTTTTACTCTTATGTCTCAGTGGAGAATGAGCAGCACTATGCACTCCCAATAAGCAGTGGGCAACTGAGGTGCGGAGACATCAACTGTCATAGTAAAACAGCTCAGGCTTCATCCAGTTCCCTGTGTGAAACAAGCAGAGGCAAAGGCCCCGTGGAGCAGCGCAGAGGATTGTAACCAAGTGCTGAGCATGCAGTGTCTCGAGTAGAGCAACAGCGTTCAGCATAGTTCAGCATACGACTTCCAGCGGTTTGCCCGAGGCCACACGGGAACTCAGTAGCAGAGTAGGGACTCAGGACTCCTGTGGCTCAGGCAATGAGAACCGCTTTCCCTTTGGCATAGCTTATTTAACTAATGCTTGTGGAACTAGCAGGCTAACCCTTCTTTAAGCGCCTCACAGTCACTAACTAAAAACATTTCCAATTAAAAGACTACATGGAGTTGTGCACACTTAGCTGATAAGGGGAAATGGCACTTGCATTTTAAGTTGTGTTGCAGTGCTGATAAAGAGTCACTTAATTCACGTCATGGAGTAACACCAGTTACCCTCTGATACACAGAGTATGGAGGACTGCCTGCTTACAGCAGCTGGCCTGTAACTTGCCCTCACACATGCTTGTGCAGCGTTTTGGGTGTATATACTAGTGGATCAACTATCTTGTAAAACAGTCACCAAGCCCTTTTCTGATTCACTCCCTCTCCTTTTTTATTTAAAGACTGAATAGCTGGTCTTAGAGATTACGCTGACTACAAAACTAGTGGATTTAGAGTTCAGAAAAAACTTTCCAGCAAGGAAAATCCCCTCCTACATAAGACCAACAACTCCTGAACCTTTTGGGAGTGGAGATCATCAGTTCTACCCTCCTAGTTACAGTGCCTGCTGTAACATATGCATTAGCAGTCGATTTAGAGAGTCTTGAGAAGGGAAAAGCTGGTATTTCTTATCTAGCCAGGTGCATGGGTAAGCATCCAAAATGCTTAAGTCTTACCAAGGGAGTTTTTACAATAGGTATTAGTAAGAACAATTTCCCACTTCACTCCAAATTATTAGTCACCAATTGAGTCACAATCAGGGTCGGATAATACAATAAGTTGTGCAGGATGCCCAGGGTTAGGGAGGATGACTTATGTGGTCTTTATTGTCCCAAACTCTTAGCAATAGCTGTTATTTACTAGTGCCAAAAATTCTTTGTTGGATTGAGGTGGGAAAATTGTGCCATGATGTAAGACGGGAAATGGAAAACCCCTCTTGCGCTTGCACCAGAGATGCTTGCACTGTTCGCTGTATTTCACCACTGGTGCCAGAACTCGGCTGCCAGCAGGACAATACCACGTTTGCTCGGGAGGCGAAGCTGGCGTACCGCTGTGTCAGTGCTTGCTCAGAGTGGCCAGGCTTGAGGCAAGCTTTCAGAGGGGACATTACTGCTGGTCCTCAGTTCCTTACCAAACCTGGGATCTGGCACGACAGCAAGAACGCAGCAGCATCCTTCAGCAACTGCTTCTGATCCTGCACCTCCTCTTTGCTAGACTCGGGAAAACGAACACCTAGGAGAGTAAAAGAGAAAAACATAAAACACATCAACTCAAAGAAGAAACAATTCATATACAGAAAGCGTATAGTAAGAGCAGGTAAAAAGTTAAAGTGATTCTGTCTCCCTGGAATTAAAGACGCTTCTTCAAAAACTCATCTACTGTACAACGTTTCAATAGATAGAGCATTAGCTGCTCTGCTTGGTTAGTAGCTGTGCTGCTCTTGCCCACTCATTCATTGTTAACGCAGCTTTTAAAAGCCCAAATTCTGCTCTTTATCTGGTCCATTCTACCTATTGCAAAGTGCTGTGTACACTTCCAGTGCAAAAGAGTCAACTGGCTAGACTGGAGCGGGAACATTTCAGCAGATGGACCAGCAAATACTGCAAGTGCTAGAAACTCAGAGCCTTTTGCTTTTGCACACCAAATTAAAACAAGGTTTTAAGTTCTAGCTGCAAAGTTGGTGCCAAAGCACTAATCCTTACCAGTCTTGGAAGATGCTTGGGCGTTTCAAAACACATGCTCCTTCTGACACATTTATTCCAAGCTAAATTCAACTGTATGGCCATTCCCCAGCAATTTGCATGCATACAGCCTCGGTATTCACCCCCATAAACACTCTGGGAGCTTCTTCTGTATTTCCAAATAAAAAATACTGATTCCAGCCATGGAAAGCTACATACAATGCCTGGGACTGACGCATGCATTTGAAAGGGCACTGTGACCTGCTTACCATAATGTTACGAAAACAAACCCTGCCCTTCACTGAGGATGCAACATCAGTTGTTCAACTACAACTGTTGTTTTTTGTGTAAACTACTACATTAGGATCAAATTTAATTTTTTCCCTCCATCTGCTTCTTTTCATGTGGTCTAGCAGCTGGGATGCTGGAGAATCGCAAGAAGATTCTTGGCAGCAATCTGCAGACCTCCCCCGAGCATAGCAGTGGGAGACAGCTTACTGCCTGCATTTGGTAGTTTGAGCATTGCAATCAATTACACTTCTTTCTCTTTTCTGTATCTTTGTGCTTCACGGAGAATCCTGCACCATGCCAGCCAGCCAAAAGCCAGCAATATTCTTAGCTACAGAACACAATTTTTTGTCTGTAGCTGGCTGGACACAGCAATCCTCTGAAGCAGGACTAAAACTAGCTCTTTGTACACATACCTGGTGAGAAAATATCTGGGTTAAACCGAATGTCAAATGACGTGTCACTAATGGAGCCTACAGCCTTGCAAGCATTTCGAATCACTTCTCTGCTTTTGGGATCCACTGGAGCAGGAAGAAAAATTGAATACAAATGAACGTGGATTTCAGAAAATGACAAGCCTAGCTATTAAATTAAGAGAAAAGTTTTGTTACTAAAAGCAGCAATGATGGCACATTCTGCAGAAATCCATTATAAAAACAATCAGTTGTAAGATATTTGGAAAGGAGGATGGCTGCAAAATGTAAAGTCTGAACAAGAGCACGTAAGATGACCCAGAAAACCCATGGATCCACCCCCCAACCACAGATACTCAGAAATCCAAGCCTGGGATTCCCAAAGGCGTCTGTGCATTGCACACTTCCCAGCCCTGCTGCAGCCCGCTCCCCTCCACCTGCACTAAGCCTCTGGCAGCTCAGCCCCGGCCACCAACCCTGCAGGCCAGCTTGCTGGCCAGGCTCTCGCTCCTGCGGCAGAGCTGATGGGCTTGCTGCCTTCAGAGACACTCACCCACCTACCCAACCAGTCCCCAGAGTGATTAATTCATTAGTGTGTGAACAGCTCTACGCAAAGAGCTAAAACAATATTGATAGAAGCAGTCAGTGCTTGTCCTGTTTAACAACAAATAATCACCCTGACCACCCCCAGTCTGGCATAGCTCCTACCAGTGACACAGCCCACCAGCTAGGGCAGGAGGCCTGGGCTGCTTCTGGTGCCGAGGATGAAATACCTGTTCCATCATCAGATGCAATGGTCTCAGCAAGCTCTTTCACCTGATCAAGTCCAGTCACGTTATCGTCTATTTTACCATCCTCTGACTCAGATTTCTCACTGTCTGCAGTACCGTTCTCCGGAGAGGCACCATTTTCCAGCGCACCTGAGCTCTCCTGCTTGTTGGCTTTCTGCTGCATCAGCTGCAGCGCAGCCAGCTTCATGAATAAGAGATACCTACAGTAAAGGAAAAGATGAATTCAGCACAGCAGGAGAATCCAAAAGGAGCACCACTGCTCTGCGACGAAAAAACCTCACAGAGTTAGCATTATAGACCATACAGTTTCCCTGTGATGTACACCCTCTTCCCATGAGCTTTCCAAAATCAAAGGAGTGCACATTAGTTTATCAGAAGAAGCAAAACCAAGTGGGTTTTCATTACCTATCACAATGGGAAACTAATCCCTTTGCAGTGGTTACAAATTGCTTTCCACATGCAGCATCAGCAGACAGCTTGGGAAGACCCTCACTGCCAGATGCACAGGACTAGTCAAACACAAACCAGCAGCAATTTTGCCAGGAGACCTTAGCAGAGAGAGGCCCAGCCTCTGCTAGCCAAGGAGGAGCAGCAGCACCCTACGGCCATGGTCCTGCAGGCTGCTGGTCTGGAAGCTCTCCCAGGGAGCAGCAAAGCCTGCCTGCAGGCACGTGGCAGAGCTGGGAAGGGCGCTGGCTGCAGAACTGGTTGCTCAGTGGGCAGGGCTCCTCCGTCAGCAACTGAAGGGCTCGTCTTCCCGGCAAGCAAAGCACAGGCTCTGACCATCTGTGATAGCAGAGCACCTGCAGCCCTTCGCATCGGAAGCAGGAGCCTTAACATCACCAGCACCAGGCGGCCACGCCACATGACTTCGACTTGTCCTGCTCCCAGAGCTCCCACTTCCTCGCCTGCACTGAGCGAGCCCAAAAACCAACGCATCACACCACGAAAGTGCCTACAGCAGTTCCCATAGGTAATTTTTTTTCAGCCTCTAGGAAAAAAAGATAGCATTCTTTCAAGACATCTGGAGAGCCTTAAAAAGAAGCATAAATCCTTCCCATTCCCTAGCCATCAGGTGCACCAGATATCTGCAGGGAAAGAAGAACTTCTAAATGTTTGGACAGGAAACAACAAAAACAGATCTGGAGACTAAAAAGCAAACCACCTCTTTGCCTGGCTCCCTGTAACCCTGTCAAAATCCCTACTGTTTTCACCTCTCATTGATTTTCTATAATTGCACCTGCACGGCCAAGCAATGGGGAAATTAGCTGCCCACTTCTGGGAGGTCTGTTGTGATGTCCCTGGGACAATGCAGTGTGGTCCTGACTTGGACTGTTACCAGTTGCAGGTGGAGGAAGGGGGGAGCTCAGCTCACCTGTGTTCTACAAAGGCATCAACAAGCTCTTGCCGGAGACAGCAAAGCTTGTGTCTGTGCTGCTTGGGGAATCCCATTTTCTTACATTCCTCTGGCATCTCCTCCCCTTCAACAGGCAGGAAGTTTAGATCTGGAGGGAAAGTGCGGAGCAGGTCCAGGATGTAGTGACGCCCATCATTGCCAATAATGCCTTTGCACTCCACCGAGGAGCACAGCTCCACCTCCTCATTCTTGTCATTGAGGACTTTGTGCTTCTGGATCTTAAGCGGCCTGCTGGTCTTCTCCAGCAGCTCCAGATACTTGGGGTGCGAGACAACTGTCTTGCCAAAGTCTATTGACCCATAGATGACGCTCTGCTCCTGCTCCCGTTCCAAGATGCCAGGAATAATAGACTGAGCCGTCACCCTGTAACCTCTGTAATCCACCACTACAGTCCCCAGCGTGTACAGCCCTTCTACATCCACAGCATTATAGGTCCGCACACCATTGAGATCATTGGTAGGAGCTACATAAGCAGCAACATCTCCACCAAAGTCCTTGTAGTGGTCACGGACGTCAAAGCCCAAGCTGAAGAAAATGTTGTTCCAGATGAACATCTGCATCTTGGTCTCTTCACTGGGGTTGATGGCCATGACATTGCCATCAATGACAGCCATAGCACCTCTTGTTGCTGCTGCAGTGAAGTCGCTGTGAACCTGGAGGTAAGTGGAGAGAAAGCTGGGTAAGGAAGGGCTCCCACCCTCCCAGCTCCTCGCTCTCAAAGCTCCCTGCAAATTTCACCTTCACTCCTCTCCTCCTGATAGCCTTCCAGCAGGCAGGCAGGTCAGCTGGCTTTTACTTTTGTGAGCCTGGCTAGTGGCCTGGATACAAGCTCCAGGAGCCAGAACGTTAGGGATCAGCATGGCTCAGACTCAGCTCTCTGCAGAGGAGGGCTTAGAAGTGGGTCCCCCCTCCCCCTGTTCCTCCCGCCCACTTGAAGGAGGACTGGATCAGACAGAACAGCAGAGGACTAAGAGGAGGCTGCCTCGGGGTCAGCAGGGAGACACGCAGTCAAGGAGCGCAATTCTTCCCCGTGGGGCTGGGAGCAGAAGGCAGACATGCAAGAGAGAACAAGACCCCTTAGCTTACAAACAGGGATCCTCCTCTTGCAGTTTCTAAAGGGTAGCCCAGGTGAAGTGTCCAGATGCAATACAGGCAGCAGAGAAGGGGCTGCATGAGGAGCTGCCTGCATGTCCCAAAGTTACCTTGAAAATGGCTCGTTCTCTCAGCAGCCTCTCGGGCAGGTTCTTGCGCGGCAGCTCTCGCGTGGTCTGCAGCTCCTCATTCCAGTCTCTGGTCTGAAAGAGTCAAAACCTTGTGAGAAGCAATGCATTATGTAGGAAGGGGCTGGCATGTCAGCGTTTCTGCTTCACGAGGCATTCTGTGAGAGAAGGGAGGGGAAGGGGCAAGAATTCAGGCTGCCATGGAGCTCAGAGGAAGGGACTTAGCAAGAGGAATGAACACTCCTCGTGAATGGACTTTATTTGGCAGCAGTTTGGGATAGATCTGTACATTAGCCCAGCTTATGCAGTGCAGTTTAACTGAAATAGCAGCTTGCTAGCTCTGGAGGAGCACAGTGCAGGTTTCATTAGCCAACACACTGCAATGGGGTCACACCGCAGGCAGACAGCCGCCCATAGGCAGCCGTTACAGCCCTGCACCGCTCACGGCCTGCAAGACTTTATGCTATGAAGCTGCAACTGAGGCATTTGAAATAGTTTGCTCAGAGACACAAGAGCCATTCCAGGCCTGACTGGCATGGAGGAGCACTCTGCCTTCTCTGCAGTGGCGCTCATTGGAGCAGGGACACAGGATTTATGAACACCCAAGCAGAAGTTGCTCCTCTCAGACCTTTACATGCTCAGGGAGTTGCAGTCTGAGCAGCACAGCCCCTATAGTCAAGGGCACTGTCAAGAACAAGGACTCCCGCAAGTTTTCCCTTGATGAGCAAAACCCTTCCACAAATACCAGTTGTCTACTTGTTAAAAGTTAACCAGCTCCCAGCACAGCTGGGAGCAAAACTCTTGCCAGCATTCTCAGGCGAAGGAAGACCAATACCTGTCCAGGTATGTGCTCTTCATAGCCCAGTCTAGAAGTATAAGCGTCTTCTGCCCGGACACAGTCCATGGCATGTTCTGCTTGCGGAGCCGTCCAGCTGTACACTTGGAAAGGAGTGGCTATCCTTTCAAAAGGGTGTCTCTGAACCCTAGTTTGGGAGTGAAAACAATTAGACATTTTCCAAAGGAAGATTTCTTTCTATTTATTTGTCCTGGTTTCAGCTGGGATAGAGTTAATTTTCTTCCTAGTAGCTGGTACAGCGCTGTGTTTTGGATTTAGGATGAGAATAATGTTGATAACACCCCGATGTTTTAGTTGTTGCTCAGTAGTGCTTGCACTAGTCAAGGACTTTTCAGCTTCTCATGCCCTGCCAGCGAGAAGCTGGGAGGGGGCACAGCCAGGACAGCTGACCCAAACTGGCCAAAGGGGTATTCCATACCATAC